GCAGAGGCTTAAAGAACAACCTCGTTCTCTTCTACAACATTATAAACCAACGAATTTACGCAGACAACACCGCACTTGAACTACGGAAGACTGCAGCCTACCCCACACGTAATGTCGGGTACGCGATACGCACAAAGCTTTTAAGTCATAAAACTCGATGGAAATTCTTTTTAGTGAGATACACAGATATGCGGAACAACATACCCCTACAGATACGCATGAGTGCAAGCTATGTCACATTACGAAATTCCCTACAGACGTTCCTCCCTATATCAAATGTGCTGAAGACCTTTGACTCACAGCAAACTCTAGAAACATTGACAGAGGCTGGTGTAAAAAACATGAACATATGACCATATATTCCCTTACTAGCTTACCCACTACATGTCATTACCCACAATACCAAATCCCATGTCTGTGCAGCCTAGTAGCCCCTCCTTTTTATTATCTACTTCTGAGCCCCGTAAACTAGCAAATGATGATACGAACATCTGTAAATTTTACACCTTAGGTGCTCGGGTCCAGGACCTGAGGAAAAAAATCATGAGCCGAAATTCTACTAGTTAACTTTCCTTTACTATTATGCATTACCCAGCATAAACCATGAAACCTATTCCCTATACAAATGATCGCTCCCACTTATGAGGCCGTGTACCGATTGCCGGTAAATATACAAATTTATTTAATTAAGTTACTTATTAAGATGGAGCATAAGTGCGTGCGCAGCTGCCTGCGACTAGAGCGCAATGTGTGGTGGGGGTCGGAAGGATGAAGAAGTTAGCGGTCACATCAACACAGTAAAACAAGCGATACTTTGTGACATGCAATAATCCGTGTCGACGTTCAGGGCAACATATCTCAAGGTGTTTCTGCGCAAATTCAAAGCAAATGTAGACTTAGTGGAGTCAGATGAATAACGGGCATTTCCAGCCCGAAAACACTGCAATCCACGAGCAGGTGCGAAAGTAATCTATCGCAGCAGGCCTCAAACCCAGGGCCATTGGATGTTAAATTAAACTTCTAATCCTACAGCCATACAAACCAAGCGCCTCAAATTGACTCCCCAAATATCGAAGTTCATATGATGAATTGCAGTAAAACCCTGTTGAAATCATTCAAATGACACCAAGGCGGTCGCATGAGGCAAAATACCAGAAGAATGAGATGGAAAGATAGGTCATCAAGAGGAGAAAGTGGGAAAATTTTCGGTGACCTTCACAGTATTTATTTCGTTTGGTAAAATCGCAGCGAACCAAATGTCCCATGTACTAGCGCGCACGGATGAGGTATAGAGGGAAATCGAAATCTCCCGTCAGATCAGGTTTGGTTATGAAGTGCAGTTGGAGAAAAGCGGATTAAAGTATGGAGACTCACCGATTCCATATCCAAGCGGTCATACATCTTGACAGTGGAATCCAGAAGAGTGCTCCAACTGTAAGGTATGAGTGGTAACGGAAAGAACAACAGACCCAGTAGAGAAGACAGGTTGACACTCATGTAACGGTATGAAACAAGTACGAATCTACACAAAACCTAATAAATCCCCCACATACTTACAAGTACAAACTCTTAAAGTCTTCCGGTAAAGTTGTAAGACATTTGTCGTACAAGCCCAACTGACTTACATCAGGGACGCAATGCTGGCGAAAATATTCACCGTTGACAACTTCAATAAAAGGACGTAAGTAGAAGGGTAACCGGATGTGTTTGTTTGTGAAGAGAAGAGTAAGGAGAGAAGGGCTAGTCTCATACAACAACGCTGCCTTGTGTAGCCGGGGGGTTCGAGTAGTCCGCTAAATACACATTATCAGCACTTTGCCTCGAGGTGAAACACTGCAGACCCGACATTCTACCTAAGATGGTCAAGGAGTAGCATCGCAAACATCGCAAATTGGCAACACGCAGTGAATTCTGACCTCGATAAAATCACGGTGACCAGTACATGGTGGTACTACGACGGGCATCAGTCTGCCTAGTGATTGGACGCCCGTGACGGTATCACAGCAATCAAAAATAAGATCAACGTCCGCAGTAAGCGCAACAGTCAATCAATAAATGTTAGTTGAAGGTGAAAAAGTTACCTCAGCTAACGTGCCGCAATACAAAAATGTAAGATAAAAAATTACACTACAAAAAATTGAAAAGCAGGTAATACAATGTTACATATTATGCAAGGTAATACGAACGAGATCGCAATTGGAGCGGGAATCTAAAAGTAAGAGGGATGAACAAAGAAACTCACAACACAAGCGCCACTGGAGCCGGGTCTTCGTCAAATCAGTAAGTGTGTCCAAGCAAAACATGTTCATCGTCCTTAGGACCCCAGCCGGGAAGTCGGGATGCACCAACTGACGCCAACTTCGAGGTGAGGGCTTTCATTTCTCTTGACGAAGTCATTGCTTGGTCTCCCCTCCTCCTCCAACCGCACCCCCGGCGCGCAAACAATACACGTCGTGAGAGTCGGTGTGCTGGCATGCACAACACGTGGCCCAGCTATCGGAGCTCGGCGCGTGATATAATGGTGCTTTGCGGTTCACTCGCTCTTCCTGCACCAAATACGCGAAACCGAACACGCTCATTGCTCACCAGACATGAGCGAAGTTGCGAAAGCAGCGATGGTCGAAGGTGACTAGCCTCTTAATGTCTATCGACCTGATGGGCCAGGCTTCACAACCGCATAAGAAAGCTGAACGGACGGTTGCATTATAAACTCGGTCCTTCAGGGCGAGAGTGATGTCGCGTCTGCTCCATAGTTAGCAAAGATTAGCAAAAGCACCCCGAGCTTTTTATTTACGGTTCGTAATCTCATCTTCGATTGCACGGACGCTAATATAGTTGCTTAAGTACTTGAATTTCTGAACGACTTTTAGCTGATCACCAATATTGGAGAAATACTTTGGATTTCGATGCAGCAAAGCATAGCCCAAAACGACTGACAGGAAGTGCCAATCGGTCCAGTTCTGCTTGACACGTTTGCGAACTATCATAGATTAGCGCAATATCGTCCGCATACTCCAAATCAAGAAGTCGCCGACCAGGAAGTAGCTCCACACCTTCTAGGTCGTGTCTACTGAATGCAGTTCTTATGACTTCGTAAATAGCGTAGGTGACAGCGTGCAACCTTGTCTCACACTGCTGAAGAGATTGAAAGCCGGAGGCAGTTCGTCATTAACCCTCAATCTGTTCGAACTGTGCGCGTACATCGTCCTGGGAACGTTTAGGTATTAATCGGGAAACCCTTTTCTCAGCAGACAGTCCCAAAGGGTACATCTACCCAACCAATCGAAGACACCTTTGATGTCGAGAAACACAATGGTGAGTCGCCACTAAACATGGCGGTGCTCCAACAATTGACGCAAAGTGAAGATGCGGTCGATGCAGCCGCGACCTCGACGAAATCCGGTTTGCTCTTTGCGGATCTGGCTTTCATGAGCAACAGTCAGTCTGTGGAGAACAAAAGACGTAAGCAATTTAAGGCCAATTGAGATCAAACTGATGCCACTATGATTGCCACATTCCGAACGGGAGCCTCCTTGAAAATTGGGACTATGATGGAGTGGCTCCAGTCTGTCGGGACAACTTCCTGCTCCCAAAGATCCACTAGCAACTCGTGTGAATCGTCCACAAGTGTAGGTCCCCCGAATTCAAAGAGGGCAGGGGAAATTCTATCTGCCACTGCGGCCTTATGCAATTTCAACAATCTGATCTCATGTTCGACTTCTGCGCGAAAGGGTGGATCTAAAGGGATAGCCCATGAAGAAGGGCAGTCAATGCCCGAAAAAGAAGTCAATAACTCAGATTGATTAAACTGCCTTGCAGTATTCGGCGCAACGCTCCAAGCGCTTTGACAGGCTGTGGATCAGCTGTCCACTCTCCTCACGTATCATCTCGCTAACACCAGGTCCTCTGCTGCCTGTTTCCCGTATCAGATGGAATAAGTTACGATGATTACCAATGGCAGCGGCTGCTTCCAAATCCGATGCCCGATGACACCATCGCGGTCTCTCTTCAGGCTAGCACGCAGTTTCGTCCTGAGATTTTTACGAGTCACATTGCATTCGCTTCCATCCGGATTACATCGGCGAACATCCATAAGTGCCAGAGACCTTGTAGAGACCCAATGTCTAGCTTGGCAATTTGATTTGTCACATGAAGACATGCCTCCTGATAGTAACGTTAGGCGAATATGTAACCAGTGATCTTCGACAGTATTCCATGGGCGCTTACTCAGCACGGATGCCAGCGTACTTCCATACACATTCAGAACACCTGGCTTCGCCAGCTGACTGGTGTCAATGGGCTGACAGCGACGTCGCGGACGTCCGCCGAAGCGCATCCGAAGGTCGGCACGCACAGGAATGTGATCGGAATCCACGCTGGTGCTCCAAGTCGAGCGACAGTTTTGGACACAGCCTCTACAGCAGCAACTAATCGTGATGTCATCGATTTGCATCCATGGTCAGTGGGTTTTGCGGATGCTATATCGGGAGTGCATGCGACAAAGAGACGAGCATCTTCACACAGGTGTAGCGACCGCAAACTGTTATCATTACGGGAGCCCACACCATGTTGGCCGCTCAGATGAAGCTCAACAGAAGACACATTTCCGACTTGGGCGTTTAGATCACCAGCAAGCACTAGAGTATGCGTGCTTCCTTTGTAACGAAGGCGATCGATAAGTTGATGATAGAAATCATTTTCCATCGAATCATGGCTGCAGTTTGTAGGAGTGTAAGCCAAAATGACAAACAGGCACCGTTTGTCCCCGCGCGACTTCGTAGCACGGAACGAACCAGCTAATCTAACGGCGCACATCCTACTGTTTACTGGGCTCCAATCGATCAGGACAGCTTCAGCCCGGGGACTCAAAACAATGCCGACGCCAGCTTGACCTTCATTTGAAGCTGCGTCATCGCCAGACAAGCGCAATGAGAATGTGCCGCCACTGTCGCATGTGGGGGATCACAGGGTAAGCACGAAGCTCGAATCTGGCAGGTGCGTTTCTGAGAAATAGCAAATATTGATCGATAGAGTCTCGAGTGTTCGGGCAAGTGCTGGCTGTTGGCAAACCTGCGGCAAAGTGCGCATGTTGAGGCATACCAATAGTAGCGAGGATCGAGGATTAAAGAGTAACGTATGGACTGACTTTGTCCGCGTGGTTGAACATGGACTTGTCGACTGGATTGGAGCGAGGCGCTGCGATTGTGTGTGATTTGAAATTAGGAGAGAAGCGACTATTGAAGTAAGCTGGGGGAGGGTCAAGAATTGGGGGATTGAAAAAGGGGGGGAGAAAAGTGAAATTAATGCGGGACGACAAGGATGAAAAAGTGCAAGAGGGGGAATAAGAAGGTGGAAAAGTCTGAGCAGTAGCATCAAAACCTTTATCTACCCTGCTCGATGCAGCAGATAGGGGCCGTTTGTTATCCGCTGCGATGGCCAGAGCATCGAGAGATTGTTAGAAGGAAGAGCCATGATGTATTGCGTAGGCAAGATACTGTCAGAATGCCTAGGCCCAGACAGTAGAACGATTAGGGTTCTCAACCAAGGCAGCGGGTGTTCTGCACTGGACTACAGAGAGGACGTTTTATGGAGTAAGAAGCCACCTTCATCTCAACCTCCTACCTGGAGGGTCAGGAGATTGAGATTGTCTGGTCTCTAACCATTGACCAATATGGTATGAGTGGTTCGGAAAGTGCAAAGCACCACCCAGCATCGCTCAACGGATTATCGAGGCACACAAACCATCGTATCACGTTATGGTCCAGTCTCAGCGCGATGGAGTAAGTACAACACGGAATCGTCAAGCGAACTGTAGGTAACATTGGAGGTGCGAGTGAATGCATAGATTAAACGTGACGCTACTTCGTTCATTGAGCACATATAAAAGGAGAATCTCATAAAAAACCCTTTGCTTCAATAACGAAACCACTTGAACAATGTTCGGCAGGAGAATCGGGCCGTTTCGGAAACACGCAACGTTGTCACGCGAAGCGAACAGCTACTTTCATGTTGGATAGAAAGGAGCTAAAATATAATCTTGGCAGTTATTGAGAACATGAATATTCCAGGGTTAACCCATAAATATCTGTTCAGAAAAGTAAAACAGTGGGTCCCCTTCAGCCTTTTCGTTAAGGCAGAGAGAAGACAGAGGTTGCGATATGTCAACATTGCGATTGTTCTTTTCAGTCGTAAACACAATACGAGCAGAAACACACAAGGGATTATACACATGGAAAAAATAAGCACCACCAATCAAAATGTCACAGTCAAGAACATGGCAACCGAATTGATTGCCTCAAGAGTTTCTGTGCACATAGCACTTGCCAAAGTGGTTGGGACAAGTGATTACGCAACAACATGGGACGAATCTGAGATTCAATCGGAGCCCGGCATCGTTTATCACCAAGCATCTTGGAAACTCGACACCAGGTGAACCTGGAGACTGACTCCAGGGTGTTATTACGTACACACGTGCAACGTGTCACATGACGCATGCGATAGAGCTTCAAGCGTGACCGACGCAAAAATTTGGGGGAACGATGCAACGAATCGAGAAAAGGGTACCGTGTGTACAAGTGTCATTTGGAGCCATATTTGTTGGCTGTTTGGAGCGAATTGAAAGTTGAAAGAAATCTAGGCCGAAAGTGCAAAACGGTGGTACTATGCGATTTGTGTTTCCAAACTGTAAACAATGCCGCAATTTATTTCCGGTTTTTGAGTTTTGAGTCCAGTAGAAATACGTCATTCCAAGGCTTTTAAGCGCTTTGTCGCTTACAGCTACTCCTAGCGGGTTTTCGGATAAGTTAGGGGCCGATTGAGAGATATCTGCTCCCCCACAATATCTCAGCAAGGTGAGCAGAAGGGATATCACCATAATCTTTGAACTCGCTGCATCCATGAGGGGATTTGGTCCGTGCTTGTTAAACTATGAAGCCCGCAGTTCAAAGTGCAACGACGTTAAACAAGAAAAGAGAGCTGAGTGCAGGAAAAGTGGAAGAATGGATCAAAGTACTTGAATACTACTGGATGACGAAGATGTGCATCAGCTTGGTCTTCCAACATGCATAGCTTGCTACACAATGTTAAGGACAGGGTAAGTGGATCAGGTGGACTACTTGTAGACGACAATCCACGGAGCCTGAGTGGCTATCTCACGAGGAGGCATTGCTAGCCCGGGAAAGCAACATCAGCCAGTGCGTAATAGCCGACTTAGCCTAATGCAGCGTCACTAATCAGCTGGAAGTCTGATGTCCACAATGGAGACAGGGGACGGTATTCGTACACACACTAAGGCCATTCAGAGTCCGTTCTTCTGGTACTGCTGCTTTATCGAGCGGATAAGCTTACAGTCTACCATAGTAAATTTGCTTTTAGCACAGTCGATGTGGGGTTGTAAAATCTAGCAATCAAAACCACAAGGGGGAGAGTAACAACAGGGAACGAGAGTCAAAGCTTGTCAGAGGCAGGTGGTAGCAAACACAAGAACCCAAACGCAGTATGGCCTACCAAGATGGTGGGCGCAACCAGTCCCCTTTCCGAGACAATTCCCGAAATTTGCGAACTGAGAAAGTGAGTCCCAAGTGGGCAAGAAACTTTAAAAATCATAGAATTGCAAACGGAGGCTAATGAGACACCAGTATTGGAGTCACAAGTGATCACTATCCTAATCGTGTGGATTTATTTTAAACATCCACACGCAATCCCCCGGTGATGTCTAAGGGAAAATTCCACATATTACGTCTCTTATAACCAAGTCCACAGTCATCGTGGATGGGATGTTGGGAGGATGTGGGGAAAGGTGAGATATACGGGAGGCAGGCTGTGCATTCGAATTTCGTATCAGGACCAATGGAACACGGTATGTAACAACGGATTAGTGTTAGACGTATGTGGTAGAAACGCTAACGCAGCCACACCGGGGATATCAAGCAACAACCACTCATTTGAAACGACAAGCTAAAATAAAATACACCCAATGATGCATACAAATACGGTGGCATAACTCTTCCCTAAATTACCACATGAAGTAAGTTGGTTAGCAACGAATCCGCGATAAGTAAGAAATGTCCACAAGTTACTTAAAAATGCTACAAACGCAACAAAGTTACCGAAGATAAGCGCAATTTGCGTAAGCAACGTGGCCAGCTAATAGAAGATTATTCAAGTAGGCAGAACAAATCAAATAAAGTGGAATAAAATTCATCCAGCTTAAAAACACCTAGTTTAAGTGTAAGTTGGTTTAGCCCAACTGTATATATATATATATATATATATATATATATATATATATATATATATATATATAGGCACTCCTTATGCCTGGATCCACATCCTGGAAGACATACGGGTCCAATGGCGGCTAGACGCGACGTCAGCGATTTCATGCGCTGTCGCCAAATGGATGCCTCCAGCCAGGTCGACGAGCGAAAAAAGCGCGGCGCAGTAGGCGCTCAGGCGTCATGCGTAGGATGTGACTAAGTCATCTCAATTAGAGCAGAAAAACCAGTTCGTTGAATGGGTTACTTGCATTCCCTAAGACGCGACGTCAAACGTCATTACTGTGAACTAGAGGTTGCTACAATACAAGAGCGATCCTTCTTAGACAACCAATGTCGAAGGCAGAAAGACGACGCATGTCTTCCATGCGAATTAGCCAGGACTCGCTCCCATACCACAATACTGAGCGAACAGATACATTGTGAACACGACCCTCCAGCCAGAATGAGACATTACGACGATGCCACAAGTGCCTCAGATCGACAAACGCGGAGAGAAACTTGATTGCTTATAGTGTCGCCAGTGTCGCCAAGATAGACAAAACTACCTTCCTGTTCAAATTGTGCACCTTCAAGAATGAGCACAGGAGGAGATGTGAGCCAATCCTGGAGCAACACTTTACACTTCGATGGGGCGAAGCCCATGTCATACTAAGATGCCTCAACCGCCAAACGATCCAGAATGAGTTGCATGCTCTGTGAATCATCACCAAGACGATATCATCGGCGTAATCTAAGTCGGTCGCGCACTCACCCAGTAGAAGCTCTAGGCCGAAATCTCGGAAAGATTCTAGAACTTTCGACAGGAGGTCCTCGATTGCGAAGTTGAAGAGGAATGGGGACATGGGGCAGCCCCGTCGCACAACGTTAGTGACAGTGAAGGGTGACGAAAGCTTGCCGTAGACCCTCACTCTGCCGGAGGCATGAAAGTAAAGTGCAATTAAGATGCCGGTATACTTCACTGGCACCCCATTCTTCAGCAAGCGACGTCATAAAGCAAGTCGATCAACCGAGTCAAATGTAACCCGTATGTCTAGAAATAAGACGATAGCGGGCCTGTGGTAAAGGTGGTGATGTTCAAAGAGTTGGCAGAGCGTGAAGATTTGATCCACGCATCCACAGCTGGGACAGAAACCAACTTGTTCTTCACGCTAATATGATTCACGTCCTGGGGATAGTCTACGAAGGAGAATGGATGCCATACGCTTGGAGGTAACCGAAATAAGACTAATCCCGTGATGACTGACTCGAGGTGCGAGCGCCTTTCTTGAAAATCGGGACAATAACTGATTCGCCCCAATAGGAAGGCACCTTTTCTTCATGCCAGATTTTGGCAAACGAGATCAGCTGGTTAATGATCGCCACGCCGATATAGGTAACAATCAAGACAGTGAGTAACCGACTAAGTGCGGCCTCGCTCACGTCAGTATGCTGTAACAAAAATCCCAACCGGAGCGGTGAAATGACAGAGTGATGAAGCGTTGCGGAAAGTCTAAAGAACCAGAAAGGTCTAAAAATACAGGAGAGTGGGAAATAAGGGATGGACCAGCTTGTCGTACCAACAGCAGCCCCCCCCCATTCGGAATGACCCAGGTTATCAACCAAAACACGACACAGACTAATAAACGGGTGCTAACAGGGTGCCACCTAGATAGAACACTAACCAATCGAGCTGATGACTTCAGAAATCAAGGTAATCATGGAACATCAAACCAAGAGGGAAAACTCAATCAACGCACACTGCTAACAGCCGAAAGTGTCGATGGTATGTTATTTTATGAGTTTGCTGTGTATGCTCGTTAACTGAGCCTACAAACTGTGCAGGTTCACGAAATGCGACCCCAAAAGTGGGATCCAGTGAACTAAATGCATAAATGTGAAATTTTGGAAAATCCACAACCAAAGAGCTGAGATGCAACAAAGAGCACGACTGAGGGGATGAGGTCAAAAGAAAGATAGAGTGATTACAAGAGCGAGGTCTCGGATTAAATGTGTAAAAAAGACATCAGCAGTATGCCAGTACGTTGTACCGACACGTTGCTTCTACGTAAATACCACTAGTCGAGCGTCGGCTACGGATACAGCGAAAGTTACCCGGTCCCCTAGGCAGACTCGAACCCGGTACCTAACTAGGTGGTGTTGAGCACAATTGTCGAGATGTATTAATACGTGCTAAAGATTAGAGAAATACGGAACGTACTATCGCGGCTAGGCATTTCATTTACCTCATCGATGATCCAGTAAAGTTCGATCAATCAACGTTGTTCCAAGCGTCCACACCAGGTAACTTGTTGGCAAGTGAATTTCCACAAAATAGTATATGAAGGTCATCTAACTAAGCAAGGGGTTGCAAGTTGATCACCTAACTCAACAAACTAACGCAGAGACAATAAGAACACGGGCAATAGTTTTGAGAACTTTTCTCCCAGATATAAACAACGCTTCGCATGAACCAGTGATCAAAGGTGGACTTCTAACCTACAGCTGGAATCCCAGCTAGTAATACTGAATGCATGAAAGCAGTGTGTACTTGGTTTTGGACTAGAGACACTGATGTCTGCACATGAAGATCCGGTGAGCGTAGGTTAAATGAATCGATTGGCGAAGAAAAGCAACCGCTATGAGTGAGGCAGGTGGGTGTGAAGACCAGACCATCCAAGTGTCAAAGTTCAAGAAAAGTGCATAAAATTCAGTGTGGTCTGAAAACAAGCCTAACTGGAGCAGCTGAAGCGCTAACCTCAAGGGAGAAAGAGGCGAGGGGAAGCCAACAGAAGGAACTTTTCGTTTGTCGGCATGAGAGTCTAGCTTTTTGCGATAAATAGTCCGCACTTCTTTGACTTCATTATTCATCTGAAATGGAGTTGTACGTGTGTGTTTAGACGGTAAAAGCTCAAGCAACTTTAAATGTACTCTAAAAGAAAGACCGTAGCAAAGCTTGCGGCAGCCATATGTATATAAGCATGTGTCAGACAATTTGTGTTCAACATATCCAAAAGAATCCAGACAACCCGTGCTAGAGTGGAGCTTAGTAAGCTACTCACTCATCCCATCGTGGAATACTGCAGCATACTAGACGGAAGTATGAGAAAGAGTGACCGAATCGCTGTGCATCCCATGCAGAAGTTATGTATGAAAAATCTGATTGGTAGACATTCTGCTATCAGTTAACATGAACGTTACAATGAACTTCAACTCGAACCACCTTGGATTCAACGATTGAAGCACAACTTGTAGCCGTGTTCAATCTGTTAGACGAAAAGACCTATTCCGACCTATCTACACTGGAATTCCAACATTATTCAAGTTGAGCGCTTCGGAACATTTTTACTGAATATACCGTAGGCTACAACGAAGGTCCGCTCTAATTTCTTCGTGGTCAGATATAGCTAGCTGTGGAATAAACTACCAATAATACACAGGTCATGTGATAATGTAGGAACATTTAGAAGCAGACTCGCCAATTACCATAATCTCTATCTTCACATGGGGAAAATACCTCGACGAGCTATTCCAAGAGGGGCCCAAAAACATCTAAACACCAATGTTTTCACAACTAGGCTTTGGCTTCAACCATCCATCAGAACGTAACTACATGAAAAGCAAACCCAAATATTCCACCTATGCATATCACCCATGCGAGAGCAGGGATACTTTGATACAAATTGATCTGTCCTGCTACAGACACCGTTTTTCACAAGAGGAGTAATCTATGCATTATTAGTATTAATGGTAGGGACAAGATTGCAGACTTTGAAAGAAAAGAGAGGAATAGGAAGAGGCTACATAGGTCAAATCTTCATTGTCCAACAGATGCAACGGAAGCAAGACGCACAGCTTCTCGGCTTCAAGAGCGCGTATGTCTCGACCGACCTCTCCATTCGATTAGATCTACCAAGTTCAGATGTGATAGGAGAATACGTGCGTTGAACCGGAAAACATATGAAATCGCATCAGTGCCTACGTCGATTTGTCGAAGACATTCCGAGAAGACATCCAGTCCAACAGGTCTGTTCTAGCCGTCGTTGTTATTCGGTTACTTTATAGGTATAATCATCATGTGGCACGCCTCATGGAGTCACACGAGGAGATCCTGTGTATGCCATGGGCGACATTTTGACAAACGCGGTGCGATCCAGTAAACACCAGACGAACCGCTCAGCATGAGCGCCCATTAGGAATGCGAAGAACTAAAATTGTCAGGTGTGATAGTTGAGAACCGGAAGAAAGCAAGAGCGCTATCGACCTCGTGATGACACCACATCTGAGAGTATATGTAGCCAAACAATCTTAGCAGGTTGGTTTACGTATGTTAGCTAGAAGTATAAACCCTGGGTGTAAGCCCCGATCTGTATGTACGTCTAGGCAAAATGAATTAGATTCGCACATTCAGAGCATCACGGCTATAAAAGTCCCTATGATTTTGCCGACGGAGTATTTTTCGTACCAGATGGAACAGCTTTGTCCGAGACGAGGATGAGCACAGCGGGGTACAAAACAGTGGTGATTTGTCTAGTTAGTTAGAAGAACAAACGGGTCTGAAAAAATCGCATAATTCGGATAGGTTCTACGCCAGCCTGCTCATTGCTCACCGAGAGGAGCGCTGTTTAGTTTATCGGAAGTTTCATGGCGTAGGACCCAAATGAAGCACCGGAGTATAAGGCTATCGAGATGAAATCAGGTGCTGATGGTCCCAGCACGCTTTCCATTGAACAGTCCCCACGACTAAGTCTGCGCTTGATTGGAGACATGATACAGCACATGGTGCGCAAATGAAACCAGATGACTGAGACCGTGTCCTGTCTGTTTAAAATGTGCGCGTGGCTGCTACTATCGGAGCACAGTTGATTATGACATGGGGCAATGGAAGCTGCGAAGAAGCAGCCTCACTGATCCCATCCTATCTGCGGCACACCATCAGATTGTGATGGCAATGGTAAGATGTAAGACTTCCTCATCCGTCTTCTGAGTCCTTAACAATAGACACAACATTGTCAGGTGATAGCTGTACGTTGAGGAGGCACCAGGCTGGTATGCCGCGGTGGTGCATAGTGAGCACGGTGATGGGTAAGTGTTTGCATCGCTTCAGATTAGGACGAGTGATTCCAGGACGGTACGCTGATCACAAGGTGAGGACATAGTTTAAAGAGGCGAATAAAGCGTACCTGGTCAAGTACCTTCTGTGTAATGGATTCTGACAAGAGATTTGGCCTGAAATACGAGAAAGCGTAGTAAAAGGCAGTGTTATGTCAAAAAAGAGAAAATATCTTGAGGAAGCATCGTAATGCGCAGATACGTACCTGTGTTTCAAAATATCTTCCAAAAAGTACATTAGACTGGGCTGAAATTTGTTTATGTATTGTATGCAGAAAATGGCTCTTTCGTCCAGGGGATCCGCATGTAATGCACGTACTGCAAGCTCCAAACAATCTTTGGGAAGAGTAACAACACGAGGGATGGGGTGGGGGAATATTATGAGTCACGGAATGGCGATTGTAAATCACAAAGGAGATGGGATCGAGACAACGGAGTTGAAGTGTAAAGTAGTATGCTCAGAGAGAATCCGAAGCAGGCCTCCAGTCCCCCGAATTGACAACAATCAAAAAGGAGGCATTTAATTTGCTCAAGTGATTCGGTTTGAGAACAGTAATAGCAAACACTTCTTGGAAGTAGAGGGGAAAATGATGGCAACGGTAAAATCGTCTGATATGCGGGCGGATGTGCAGTGAGTGCAATTTTATGAAAACAAGTGCCGGAAAAGCACAAGTGGATGATAAGGTGTGATGTAGCAACAGACTAACACGTAGCAAAAATAGTGAGACCAGCAGTAGTCTAGGAGAAAACAAGCTGTTTTCCGTAACGTGTCTACTATAACGACAAACAATGATATTCAACCAGAGATGTAGGAAGTCTCTGATGAGTAGAAAGAATCTGTTAGGGATGGTGCCGAAGCGGTTAGCCGATAGATTGAGGAGCATCCTGGTGCATGGTCCACACGTTATAAGTCCACTGTATCCGTTGCATGAAGTGAACAGAGCCTCAAAACTGATGAGGTGTGACAACCGAAATCACAGTATGAGCCCGGCGCCCTTGATGCCACATGTTATCCTTCGCGTGACAACGAATTTTGTTCAGCATCAGTAAGCAGTCGTTTATTCTAGTATTTTCGGCAGCTGCGTACAAGTTCGTGAGTGAATCACAGCCAACGATTAGCGAAAAGGCGCGAGTAAAACAAAAGTGGATTTAAACACCAAAAAACCGGTTACATGAGATTTGTCTCAACCATGTGCAGCCGGAGAGACAAGTAACACCACAGGGATGACGCGCTGCAATGCGGCCCAGTGGTGATGCGAGGTACCCAGGCCGCTGAAGAGCGGAAGCCACCACCTTACATTCGCGAGTGCACAATGAAAGTCGACATGGTCGGGAGAAGTAGAAGGTCCGCTGTCTAACCGGGTGGTTACATCAGCTGCATGCAAAACCGAATCGACACATTAAAAGGGATTTTGGTAAGATAAGTGGCTGTTCGTTAAAGCGTTGGTGACGCTATGCTTAGTCCTGATGACCTCGCATCGAAACCAAGAAACTGCTGCACCGCATATATGTCAGGTACATTTGGTCATTTGTTCTGCCTAAGTCGTCTCGTTTGCGAAGTCATAGTTACTACGCGACTCTCCTGGTCAAACGTTGCGCGTCGGCTTTCTGATTGGTAGATGCTTTCGATGAGATTGGGAGGTTGGTGAGATATATCGGAATTAAGTATTGTTTTCCTGATACATTGTTTATTTGTATGTTAAAGTTAACACATTTTGATGTGTGAATGTTTGCCACTCTCAAATAATCCCCAAAATTTTCGCTCTTATCGTCTTCTTGGCTGTAAACTCGTGCGTTCGCCTCAGTTGGAGATTATTTGGATGTGCAAGAGTATACGAACATTGTCCGGCTACCGTTACGTACGTATGATCGGTCCATAAAAAGAAAAATGTATAGCTTAACCGCGAAACTATTAATGTATCCTAAACTAAGAAGGAACAGTGGGAAGACGCAGTGAGGGATGTCAGTTGTACTCTGCAAGGCATCAACTTCAGATTAGAGGCGACAAAGTTACCTTCCATGCAGGATGTTCCCTTGACAAATTTTAAGGTAGCAAGAGGTAACAACATCACAACAGGATACTTTGAATTCAGCTATTGCGAGTATTCTCATCGGTTGGTAACATACAATCCGTGAGAAATGGTCTTGCGTTTAAAAGGAAACAACGTGATAGCATACAAAATGTGCATTTGTACTGTAGATACATTGACGACACATTTGGTGTGGTTGATACTGCTCGGCAGGCAACGCACGTACTCGATGTTCTAAACACGTGCCATCACCCTGCAGTCAGATTCACGATGAAAAGTGAAGTGGATAAGATGTTCCATGTAAAGCTAGAGAGGAAACCAGGCGGTACACTCACTCGATCTATGTATCGCAAGCCCACTTGGACAGGACAGTAGCTAAACTTTAACAGTTTTTATCCTACAAACAATAAACGAGCATTGGTTCGCACCATCTTTGCGAGAGTTCGTAAGATTTGCTCTGAAGATACTATCAGCAGTGAGTTGGAGCATGTATCCAACAACATCATAGAAAAACGGATACGTTAAAAAAATTTGGAGCATGATACGCAAACACAGAAAGAAAAAAAGAACGACTGACTGATGTCCCCAAGAAAATAGTGTTTATTACACTACCGGTGAAAGGAGACCAAAAATGATAGAAGATCCTGGCACCGTCTCCGCCAGATGATAAAGAAGTGCTATTATGCGGCCGAACTTGTGCTATTGCACCAACTAAGGAAGCTGCCACACCAATACAAGCCAGCCGCTCTAGTTACCGCCTTACGTGTTTACCTCTTTCACTGTACTTGTGGTAGCAAGCACGTGGGTCGAACAGAGAGAAGTCTGTCAACCAGGGTTTCAGAGCACATTCCACGTAATATGGTCGCGAACAGTGCCAAGTTGTTAGCAAGCTCCACTGTTCAACATATCCTAGACTGGTACGTATGTCAAAATCCCCGCGATTCGTTCAGGATAATTGACCGACAGAGCAAACCTCGCCTGCTTCAGTTTGCTGTAGCTTCAGTAATTCGGCGGCTGAAACCTAATTGATGCAAACAGACTGAGTTTATGATTAATCTCGCCTTTCCTCGGTAATTTTTTTTGTTTCGCTTGTTTCAAATTTAAATTGAGTGATAGTGAACGTTGTTTGTTTTTAAACGCAACACCACGTTTTACGGATTTTGTGCCAACAGATGATGAGAATACCCAAAATATCTGAATTCAGAGTATCTTGCTGAAATGTTGTTCCTTGTTCTTATCTTAAAAGTTAGCTTTAGAAGAGCCGGATACCGATTCCACTTCAACGACAATCGGAATTCGTGAAAAATGAAAGTGGTTCCTTAGTGTCCAATCAAGATTGGGGCAAGTGTGGCGAACTCAACGACGCTTCCAAACAGTTGAGACTCACTGCAGCAAAATGTAAAATCAACACGGGAAACCGCAAGTATTTAGACAATAGCATGCATAAAAAATTTGGGAATCTAGAGAGAGGAAAATACTTACATTCGAATTCCGATAAGGCCAAATAGAAGGGCAGCGCTAGCGGAAGCGCGATCGGATGGCAAGGGCGTTGTGCGAGTAGATGGCTCAGTGCACCATCCGCAATGTGGAACGCACCGGAATGGGATGCCGCACGAAAAAGACGCAACAACAAGCACATGTCGTTCTCATCCATCCGAGCGGCCTATAAAGACGCATCAGAGTGAATAAGGAAATTCGGTACAAAAACAAACGGTTGATGAAACGACACTGCGATGTGCAGCAGGGGGAAGTGGGTGGATGAAAAAAATAAGACGGGTGTGACCATTAGGAAATCAGCTTTCCCCAATAGGTTTCATAAATGAAAAGAGCGCAGACGTTCAGCGATACGGTGGTAGGGAAGCAGGAGTTATGGTTTCAGATTTTGAGTACAAATCGAGTTGAGTGTTTTTTTATTGTGACTACATTGCGATCTTGACGCAAGAGCTTGATCAGGTCAGGTTACTCGGCGCACAATTGACTTAGGTTTTAAGGCAAAAATCGAAGTCAACTGTGTACCGATTCATCCGGGCTGAACAAGCTTTTGTGTCAAAAGAGAAACGTAGCCACAATAGAAAAACGCACAAAAACCGATTTGTACTCAAAACTTCCTGCAATCATAAACTCCCCGTCGATTCCAAGCATATTCCGAAATATTGAGGTAGGGGGTATATTTTATGACATTAGTATGCCGCTTTTGTGCTCCGCTGACACACCAAAACCAAGGAAGACAGAATAAGTTAAAGAAAAGGATAGGTAAAAGTCAAGGTATATGATATTGCAGGAAACCAATGGGATAAACTAGGAGCGGAATGTCCTAAAACATGGGAGTAGCAGCGAAGTCCATTTGACGATGCGGAACCAACTGAGACTGAACAGTGTGGGTGGCGCAATGGAAAATAGCGAAGGGGACACGCTCGGTACTACGAGAGCAGACCATAGAGTCGTGCAAACGGCTTGCATACGTACCCCCATGATCTAGTATGAATGCGGTTGAATGACATGGTGCCAACACTGTCAGTGTGTGCGTTCCACCGATTTAGCTGTAGCATATGAATCAGAAGCTCGGTGTTCTGGTAATCCAAAACAATAAACTGGACTTTAACGTGTTTACTTAGGGCTTGAAAGTTTTACACTAGGTCACCTTTCTCTTTTATTCCTAAGGTTACAGTGATTGTGCGGCAGCGAAGCGTCAGTTCAATTGGCTAAAATAACGTCGTTGATGAGTATGATGGTGTCCTTATATTCAAACTCGAAAGACTGAAATAAAAGGATGGTTGAATACACTTAACCCATCGATAAGTTCGAAGAATGACACATTTGCCTAAAAGAGCCTAACTGCGGACCGCATACGATTTGCAAAGGATTTGGACGACTTGATTAAAACAAAGGGACTCAAATAGGAAGAGGATCTACGCTAAAACAAAGATAGTGCAGTGTTGGGAGACAGCGCAGCTCTGAAAGTCTCTACTTCGAATGCGGTCCCAATGATCTAAATAGGATAGGTTTGCTACAAAGCAAACTGTAGTCACAATTGAGATTGCGTGTCGTAATCCAGACACAAGGCGGGTACTCTAAGACCCAATAAGAAAGATAGCTCAACTCAACGGTCATGGTATAACGGCAGAGTGAACAGGACAGATTGATGACGAGTCCCCTCTTTCGGAGTCACAAACGTTTCCTTACGAAAGCCTCTCGGTTAGTTATGTAAGGGGAAAATAAGTAGATGGAAGTGCTCCGACGTTAGCGACAAACTTTTCACGTAGTGAACCCATTCATGCCCCCATCGCGCACCCGTTTGGCAAAAATATGTGCGTATGCTCTGAGGCAAAAAGCGACATCGTGAGCTATACAATTCGATCCACAGTAAAAACTGCAAAAATACGACATGCATTGCGAGTTAAGAAGACTGTTGCACACTACCGATCAACAAAAAGCAAAAAACCAGCATGCTACAGGAGCTGGGATAAGCGACAAGATTGCGTTGCGATTGGCAAACTGAGTTTCTGCCGACAATTCAAGCGCACGGTCAGAATAATTGTGTATATCAAGTCCCAATATCGTTTGTTTATGATTGTTATAGACGACGACCGTTGAAGTATTATCAAAGAAGCCTCGACCATCATATAAGTTTGCCGCTGGGTTGGATATCTGACCGCATATAACTCGCGGTGTGGAGGTTGAGTAGTGGGTAAGCACATTATAAAAATAGTTAAACAGATCTGTGTACCGATCATCGATAGATTCTGAATAATACGAGCTTCAGCTATCGAGCAGTGACGATGCGCGTAGTCAGGTAAGTTAAATCATGGCTGGTTGAATGGTGCCCATTAATACGGTGCTTTGCACATCTTATCTGTCTGTACCCTGTAAAGTTCAAATCAAGTCAAGATAAGCTTTATGTACCCAAACGGGTACATTAGTATCAGCAAGCCACATTATCAACTGGGAATGCACTAAATTGGTACAAAAAACGCTATTTTACAAAAGAGTATAAAAAAATGAAAAGAGTGAATTGTCATCACTCGAGTAAACGACTTGACTTTAAAGAACAACAATCGCATAATGTCGAACCGTGTCCTCGGGATTTGCATCCAGTTATAACAGAGCAAAGCATTAGTAAAAATGTTCTTCATATCTGGCTTCAATTGAGGTATAATTTTGCGTCTAAAAGCAGTAAGTCGGGAACAGTGTGCGCAGTATCTCAGCATTTGTTCTCAAGGTGGATAGAGGAGGACGGTCTCAATGACCGTGAAAATTGTCTGAACAAAGAATCTGTCAGACTATTTCTGCAAAACTGATATATCCACAGTAGATAACGTAAAAATAATGTCTGGTTAAAAAGAAAACGACCGATTCCATCTCTAACTGTAGTAGGCAAACGGGGACTAACACAAACATCCATTAGATGTGCCTTCAGATGCAGTTCAACTGATGTTGTTCCCTGCAAACTCTCAATTTGAGACGAGCTCAGAAATCAATGCGTTGAAGCAAAAGCGTGAAGGAGAAGCAGCTACCGAAATTGGCACAAGTAGTCTGAAAATCAACGAATATTTATGTCGACTCAGAAATGTTCGTGTTCCGGAACGGCTGCGTTCGTTGCCTTGATTGGTAGCACAGTTCTGCTCACCAATTAGGAGTTAGGTATGGAAATAACAGGTGGCAGACCCCAGTGACTTGGGGGAGAAAAGACAGTTTTGAAAACTTCGACGGTGACTGATTCGAGAGCTCCGTCGCATTAAAAATGCATGGCGGGCGGAGAAGGCGAAGCAGAATGTTACGTCGAACGCCCCCAACACGAGGAATTCTTGGACTCTTTGAAGGCGGTGTATGGACTGAGGTTGCAGTCACTGTGGACGCTGATCGATAACAGTTCAGGCGCTACCTGTACACAGATTGCAGACAGAATGCAGATCTGGAAAAAATAGTTTGATTGTTTTGAGCAACCATTCGGAGATAGACTGGCCTACATTGAACGGCCCCAAGCAGCACGATGTGAAGGCGATTCTGGCGGACACGCCTACACTGGATGAGACGCAAAGAGCACTTGCTCAGCTGCGAAACAGTAGGTGTGCCGGTGCCGACGGGATCCTGCCTGAAGTATTGAAACGCGGCGAACCTGCGTTGGTGACTGCGCTGCACCACTTGGTGCAACGCGTGTGGATTGTGGAGAAGGTGCAGAAACCTCAGCACAACAATACCCCAATCCAGCGTTGCATTTTTGGGGTATCCACCGTGAATTGCGGCACGCGATCACAACTAGGGGTTCCGGGTCACTTTGTGGTAAACATTATAGCCACTGTGATTGTATCAAAAGTGGAGATTTCGATGTCATTGGTTCCTAACACTAAAACGAAACTTAACTCCACTCAGTGATTGTTCTTTTTCGAGTCGCAACACAGCTTACTAGCTCATAAATAAATAAATGGCGTATGTCTCGACAAAGTGAGACACAGCCTAACTCAGTGGTCTAACCAAATGGGCGTAGCGAGATCGCATAAACTAGATGGCTGGACGGTTTTTTAGTTTTTGTTAGAAATCAAATTATTGTAAAATGAAATTCAGTCCATCAGAATGATTGATACATTGAGAACACTAACAAATGTACACATGACCAAATGTACAAGTAAAGTGATACGGCCATTCGTGGAACGGTCTACTGGGAAACTGCTTCCATACAGGGTAATCACTCGAAAAGTTCCATTTACATTTCCATGTCTCATCTGACAGTGTGGCCTAATAGCATGCATGTAAGCACCTATTTTACACATTTTAGGGATGTTTACACTCAGAAATTATGGACGACCAAGTCATCGAGTCCGTTCTATTGTTCGGCTCAGTTCGAGTATGGCACATTTTGATGTGTATGTCCATCAGATCAAAAACAAATCAGCGTCAAGCATTGGTGACAGTATTCCGCCTGCACCAGGAATGCGTGTAACCAAGAGGACGAGATGCCGCGAAGCGCTACTACACAAAATGCTGATAATGGGGGTGCAACGCGGATTGCGGCAGACTGATAGATGATAAAAGACATTTAAAAATGAAATGTGAATTCAACCAGAATGAACGCAAAGGTAGTTAGTTGGACACTCAGGAGGAAGTGCAACCAGACAACTGGTAGAATTTCGATTTCGTCATATACGATGAACAACGAGTAACAAGTCGAAAGGACTGCAGAATAATGTATCAGGTAAGCAGCTAGGGTACAAACTAGCAACACAACTGATGCTGTTTCCAATGAAAACATAAATGGTTGATGACATACCTTGATAAAAAGTTCCAAGCCCCTTTGGTGATGTCCGGTTCGTATATACACATCGCCCAGAAGTTTACAGGTGGCAAATTTCATTGAACTAAGCTGTGCGGGCAAATTCTGATGGAGAGAATTGATCCAAAGCAAAAGAGGACAAAAGAACGAAAGAGTTTCAGGGGATTTCATAGTCATATGTGATGGTCGGAAAAAACGATAAAAAGTGAAACAGGGATCTAACACTCGAAGGAAAATACCTGACGAAACCGTAGCAAGGTATGAGCTTAGAAAGGTTTAGAAATAATAGTGTATTGGTTAGACAACGTTTTGCTTTTGGCATAAGAGCTTCATCAGGCCACATGAGTCCGTATAAAATTAGAGTGGTTTTTGGGTGGCATGCGTTAGTGTTAGTACAGTCACAGGTCGAAATGTCATCTCAAGTGTTTTCATTCGCAGCGGAAATAGTCGCGTGTGGGCTACGGGTACAGTGAGGGTCGTCCGGTCACTTACGCAGGCTCGAACGCGCAAGCTCTGAATTACGAGACAGGCTTGTGATCTTTAAGGCCACGGGCTGTTATAAGTATAGAAGAGTTTAGCCAAAACTACTTAAACACGCATCTTATAAACAGTAAGGCAAATATGAATAAAGAAAAATAATTGGACCCAAATGAGAATAACAGGAGATGAAGATTGGAGGATGACAATGTTAGTTCGTGCATATTCTTCGCCCCCTCATCATCTACATGTAACTAACACGGATTCAAAGTGCTTCGCACGCCATCACGGTAGGCTTAGTGTCACTGTCAGCTGTTTTTGAACACAGAATGATGCTCTGTCGATCGACCGATAACTATGGCCTCCAAGAACTTGAGAATGTGAGGCCTTTGAATGCGCATGAAGACTTTGAATGAGGTATCCGGGTGTACATCGTGACCGGCGTTCAACAAATGCCCGGTGATTGTTGAAGCAACTTTGTTTCCCGATTCGCCAAGTGCCACCGTCATGTCTTCCATGTGCTTCCTGTGTCCATTTAGAATGCGTTCTTTGTTTGATTCGGAGGCCTAAATTTCGATCAGTGCGCCCCACATAGCTTTCCCCAAAGTTACATGTGAAATTGTGTAAGCAATGGGATGTGAAGTGTTTCGACAGTAGTGATCATGTCATAATCATCATCATACACCTTAGCTAGAGGTGGGAAACACCTCAGCTACTGTGCTGCAATACACAGAAAAAAGAAAAAAATGTAACTGGTGCAAGCCGGCTGAGCTACCGGTAACGGATGAGCATCGTTCCGGTAAGCTACCAGCCGGTTGCTGTGCACCAAAAAATTATTTAAAAAAATAAAAATTATTAAAAAATTACTATGCTGGCTGTCCGTCACTTCGGGCTTTGCTTCGCACCCTCGAAGTGCAAAGCGTTCCTCCAAGATTGGTCTGGACCGCCTCTTACGCTGACCCTTGGTGAAGATCAGCTAGAAGTCGTTCAAAAATTCAACTACCTGGAAAGTTGTATCAGCGCCCTTGGAATCGAAGACGAGATCCCGAATCGTATAGCAAAAGCTCGGGGCGCTTTTGCTTACCTTCGCCACTTATGGCGCTGGCGCGACATCACTCTTGCCCTGAAAAGTAGAGTGTACAATGCAGCAGTACGTTCGACCCTACTGTACGGTTGTGAAACCTGGCCGCTTAAAGCAGCGGACCTGAAGAGGTTAGTTACGTTCGACCACCGGTGCCTTCGTAATTTAGCTCACATCTGGTGGGAACACCGCGTGAGCAACAAGCGTGTTCGACGCCTTGTTTACAGCACAGGAAAAGGAACTGAACCGCTCAGCACCGTTATTTCACGCATCAAGCTCCGATGGCTCGGCCACGTGTTACGCATGCCAGTCCACCGACTTCCGCGATGTGTGTTGTTTGCGCGCCGGGGTATGGATGGAAGAAGAGGAGAGGTGGCCAAGCGATGACTTGGTCCAGAGGAATGAAGGCCCTCACTTCCGAGCTGGCCTCGGTTGGAACGTCTCGGCTCCCTGGTTGGGGTCCGAAAGACGATGAACACGTTTGGTTGGACACACTTGTTGGCTGATGTACTCTGACGAGGATGGCGATGATGATGATTCTCCATTATTTCAACAGATCTGCTTCTTCGTCTATCTCTCGTGAGGCACTGCAGCTAGTTACTGTAATTAACAACAAAATTAACATTATTTTTTTATAATTATCGATATGTGAGAAGTGGTAACCTGAAATAACACATACAAGTGCACAAGTAGCAGTTGATTAATCGGGTTGTCAACATTGTGCTGTCACGAACAAATGGACGTTGTAAAAAGATAAAACAGTCAGAAGCATGTGTAATGAGATCAAAAGAGTAAATCACAGACAAGAAGTAATCAATGTGCGTAACCCAAGAGGGTATGCATATAGGAGTGAGGATGGGACAATCAGAGCACAATGTGTTCCAATGGAACAAACTAAAGGAACTATAGCACAGAAAAAAGCGTGAATAATATGGGGAAATAACACAGTGAAAAAGACATATAAGAAAGCATCGAATGGCCTTACGTATGCTCGTCTTAATGCGCACATAACCCCGACCGAAAATGCAGTTCGCGCCAGCTTTCTATTACAGGACTCGAACAATGGTTCCTAAATGGCTCTCACAACTGCTAAAGTAATAAAGTACCAATGAAAACCCCACCTGAAGAAGTCCATTCATATCAGGTAAATTTAATGTAGGATGTATTCGAATCAATTCAGTCCAGCTTAGCAATCATGGTCCGGCCGCAGAAGTGCCCTAAAGCTGTTACCCTGACACGTCATAAGAACAAAATCAGTAGCAATGATAATAATAAATAATAAATAATAATAACAACAACAAAAAGGCAAGAGGAATGAACAGGAAATAAAATTGTCAGATGGAGTAGCTAAGGGATAGAAATAAAGAAACGTTGCTGATTCGGATAACATGTTGCATCCGCCAGGGTGGACCCAGCTGCTGATGTGACAGATTCCCAGGAATCACTACAGGAAAAGGACAGGTATTAACCCCATTCACCTTCTCGGTGTCTTTCTCTATTTGTGTATTTGCAAGGCCAATGACTGGTCAATTCGAGATGTAACCCAATTGAAGGTTTATAGCGCGATGATCGTGCGCTGTATGTCCGGTACGCGAGACTAGACGGCCAACCGAAAGCAATGGATAGAACACACAAAGGCAAGCTAGGGAAAAAGTTTATTGGACGGGAGGAGAGTTAGCTAATGCTAAAAATAGGGAACCAGAAGAGAGCTAGCTAGGGAGAATGTAGTTGGACGTCGAGTGTGTTGGCGGAGCGTAATTTGCAGCCGAGTCACGCGCCAAAAGCGGATATCGTATTCGTGTTTCAAAAAAACGGGAACAACGTTTCAACAGGTAAACCGCCTTATTCCCTAATACATAAGAAAGCTATAATTTGAACATATTTTAGAATAGTTTACAGTCATAGGGGGAATCTCCAGAAAAATAAAGGGCATCAGAAATACGGCAGCACATGGTACCAACGATTCGCTGCCACGCGACCACCACCAATCGCGCGTAGGCTGGATATATCACGAGGTCGCCGGCACCTACGCGGGTTAGAACCGGTGAAATCCGGATAACAAGGAAGGCGTGTACTTCTTTCGGTCATTGGTCGACCGCGGTTAGCAAAGACAAAGGATGCAGAGCACACGACCGAATCATCAGAGATGAGTCGAGTTCAGAAGGCAGTCCAACTAAGCATCCGGATGACCTATTGGCAGATGGTTAATAACGAAGTCCAGCGTTACTTAGTTGACCGAATAAAAGCAGAATTAGACAAATGCGCACAAGAAGTATAGACTGCATCAAAGCAATTGTGTGAGAAACCTAAACGGTTGGAAACAAGTTGAAACACAGGTAATGCGAGACACAGTTTGAGGACCTCATCAGGCTAAACATAGGTAGCACCGAGCGTCAAAACAACAGTAGAAATGCATTGACACTATTAAATGAAATTGCGCTGTCATGTGACGATGGGAACTAAAAGCAGCGGCCTTAGTAACGGAGTATGAGAAAATGTGAACTGTGAGGGGAGACATACTGTAAACTCTGTATGAGACAGCGAAGCGAACGCACAAACAAGGAGTCGTGGCGGTCATCTAACCTAAAAAGAACAGCGGTACAGGTAGCAAACAGGCGTTTGGAGCGTCACATAATATATGACCATCTAATGAAGTGGTCATGGAAAAATGGACAAATTAACATTTGTCAGAGTTAAGTAATTTAGGACAACTGGTAGATAAGAATAAAGTATAGGCGAAAATACGGTGGGCTTAATAATAAAGTACGTTCAAAAGCAAACGGTAACTCACATCGGATTTAAGAAGAGGGCTCCCGACAATACTTTCAAGCAAAGGTTTGGCAGCCAATCTATCTTCAGCGCCACCTGATGAGCACAAGCGAAGAGCATGCTTGTAAAGCTTTATGATCCTCACCTAGCACAAAACAGAAACGAGGGAAAAAAACGAATGGAAACGGAATTATGGATATTATGAAGACAATTATGAAGTAGTAAATTAAGCCCGTCGTTTGGTGAAAAAGCATAACAGAGGACGCTTCGGTAACCGCGAGGTAGAACAGAGTTGTTGCAAGTTGGACAACTATGATCCGAGCACCAAAAAGTGGTGGATCCAGTTGCCACGACTAACATCGCAAGAATAACAACAAATAACAACTGCAAGTCAGTGCGGCTAAAGGCAAGTCGAATGCGAAGAAAATGGAAGCAAGCAGGAAGTGCACGAAACCGAATGCAAGTAGGTCACTGACTGCTCGACTGCGCCAGGTCTGATATGGTCTCTAACCATTGTGGTGGACCATGCCTAGGCCCACATTCACGGAGGCGGCACGCACCAGCCTGATAAAGCCTCTGTCAATTTCCTCATGTCTTTATGTCAAGTCATGGACTGGTCGCCTCGTGGTTTCGCCAAACTTGGCGCAGCCACGGCGTATAACGCACGCCGAAGAAGCCGGCCGAGGCGCATATGTGGTGAAGCAGATATGGTATAACAGAATACCGATGGGTTACTATACCAACTGATCCGAGAAGCTCTTACCGGGGGCTCCTAGTTCAGTCCCAAGCGCACAGATGAGAAGTAGCGAGGAAGGAGTTTGAAAGATGTATACGGAAAAGAACAGGGGTACCTGTAGCAATGAAAAGCCGACTATCGCTTGAGTTCAAAATGAAATGCAAAATAAAAACAGAGATGCAAACCAGTGCAACAGTCACAAGTGGCAGTATAGGTCTTATTAAAGTGAAGAGTGAGAACAAGCGAGTACCACAAAGAGTTAGACTTAAACGATTAACAGTAAAAGCCGGAGGAAATAAACTGGTGCTAACCTCTTCTGATTCTCGAGTATAGTTTTTCTTAAGAGGCTTTAAAAGATCAAGTAGCGAGGAGGATAAAGAAGATTGTGCTGACGTCTGAGAAACCCCTATAGAGGCACGACCGTGCGTGAAGGGTTCCAGTTCCAATCTGCTAGATTCCAAAGTGACAGAGCATTCCATAATACCACTCTCTTCGCTTGAAAGGGCGAGTGAATCGACCACAGATTCATTAGGCCCATCCGTACACTTGTTGATAGGACGGAATGAAAACTGCAGAAAAATGACGACGTTAAGGAAATAGAGCAAAACGATACCATTTAACGTCCTGACGAATACCTGTCAGTGGAAAACAGACTTGAATAGAGTCGATTTCTGTTGGAGGATATGATCTGAAAAGCAGAAGCGAAACCACTTGAAAATAAGTTAAAATGTGAACGGATTCAGTCCTTACTCGGTCATTTACTGACTAGGTAAGGCTTAGTGAGAAGGCTATCCAAGGATCTTGCAATAAAATGCAAAGGTGTCTGGAAGGAAACAGAATATTTAACGAGATATGCGAAATACAACTGGTAACGAGGAAAAAGGTATTATGTAATACAGTTGATGGCATTAAGAAGCCTAGAGGAGGTTGCGATAAATCGGAATACTTGTAGCTCGGGTTGACTGGTCTGGTTTTCGTTTGTTCTCCGAGCTGAGCAATTGTGCTGCAGACATTTCGTCACCAGCCGAGGTGACATCGTTAGTGCCTCACTGTTTAGCGTACAAGCTCGTTGAGTGCGTCGTCGGCTCTTGATCAATGGGCAAGTGATGTTTGAGATTGGCCTCTTCGCTTCACATCATGTGACCTTCGGTAGTTCGCTGCTCGTCCGCCGTTGCTTTCAGCCTTATGTTGTGATTTCTGATCCGTCCAATTTCTTGTTTCTCAATGGTTGGTACATCGGGTCTAGGCCTATGCACAGGTTTATGTGTTCTGTAGTAAACCACGCTTCAAAGAATACCCTGCTTTTTTCGTTTCTCCCGCGCACGAATTTGCGTTTTGGCCTAATCAAACCTGTACCCCTCCTCATCAACATGTGCCGAGACCGGAGGTGATGCGTAATGGTTACGGCAAGTTCGCTTGTGCTCTTGTATACTTGTAACCAATTTCCTCTCAGTTTTGCCCACATATAAGAGGTAGAAGCGCCGGTAATAGTGTAACACACATACCTATGCATTCTTACTGGTATGGTGTCGTGGTAACACACAATACTGACGATCCAAAAGTGGAAAACCTGAAAGTAGGAGTGAGATATGCAAAAACCGGTATCGGCCCACTCGTATGCAGCATCTGGAAAACCACCACCTCAATAGCTGGCACTAGGAGGCTGATAATAGGTATGGGGGGACACGGCGTGCAATCTTCATGACAGTGTTAGGCTCAAAGAGTGGTCTCATCTAATGTGGATAGAGCTACGACCCAGCCACAGTCTCAGTTACGTCTGATTTGAATATTTCCATATGTTCAAGTGAATTATATGCTTGCTAAAGAAGTGTCGGCCGGCTCTGAATTAATTGTGGTTCCCATCCATGTGTTTTCCGGTTTTTTCCCTTCGGGTATTACACTGGAAATGCGGATTAAAAAAGGCATCAGCAGTACGCCGGTACGCAGTACCGACGGTTCGCTACGGCGCAACCATCAACGGTCACACGTACGCTGATACTGCGAGGGTCGCCCTGTCCCTACGCAGGCTCAAACCCGCACCGCCAGATTACAAGACAAGATCGTTACTTTTAGGCTACGGGCCGGCGAAAATGCAGATGGGTAGATAGTGCAGTACAAGTCCCTCATAGTTCCCCTGTAGTTATAGACCTCCCGTGTTTGCATGCACCCGCAATGATAGGCAAATCCGGAAACGGATGCCGCCTGCCATATACACAAACGAACATACATACGTTACTGAGTAAGACTCCGTGCAAAGTAAACCAAGCAAAGTCGAGTTATCCCACAACCTAGTAGGTCAGATTAGAGAATCTGAAACTTTTGGTGCAGATCCACAAGCAAGTCCGCCTTAATACCACATGGATTAGTTAAATGTCCGCATCACCATCATCAATAAAGGTTAGCTTAGAGTGAGAAACAGACTTCAGTCAGAGTCGTAATAAGGTAAATACATTAAACAATACAGGCTATAAAAACTAAAAAGTAATATAATCCTAAACATCATGTAAGGTACTGAGTATAGGATTGTTGTTGGAGAGAAGCTAAGGAGGAGGGGAATGACAAAGAAACTCACAAGACGGACGCCAATGAGGTCGGCTCTTCGCCGTGTCATCAAGTGTGTCCAACCAGATGTGTTCAACGTCCACTGGAACCCAACATAGTAGTCGGGAGACACCAACCGACGCTATATTCGAATTGAGGGTTTTCATTACTCTCGACCAAGTCATCGCTTGGCGCCCCCACCTTTCCCCCATCCATACCTCGATTGCGCAAACAACGCACGATGCGGGAGTCGGTGTGCTGGCATGCGCAACACGTGGCCCAGGCATCAGAGCCTGGTGCGCTGTATGATGATGATGAGCGGTTCACTCGCCTTTCGTGAACCAAATACGAGACGCCGAACACCCTCATCGCTCATGCAGTGTTCCAGCCATAGATGAGCTAGGCAGCGATGGTCGAAAGTAACAAACCTCTCTACATAGGTCAACCTGATGGGCCAGATTTCAGCCCCGTACAGAAGAGCTGAACGGATGGATGCATTGTAAACTCTTCCCTTCATCATCATCATCAATCATCATCAACAGCAGTACATCAGCCATTTGAACTGATGCTTCGCTGCCATACAACCATGAGGACCTATGAAATAAAGAATAAGAGGGAGAAAAGGGGGACTTACCTGAAAACCTTAATGCCCTAAGCAAACATTCAGGGTCAAGGCGCCTACACCTTGTGTAGACAACATACCGTCACAAACAACTGGCTATCGTGCAAAGATAAGGCGGCATCGGCGAGACAGCTTCCTTGCGGCTTTCACTGCCACGCGTCATAATCAGCCATTACCCCGCAGATAACTCAGCACCAAACACACTTTCAACAGATAATCCGATTAGGAGACGGCAGCAGACGCGCCACTGGTGTCGGTTGCGAGCCATGTCCTGTAAAGTCTCGAACCAAGCACAAGGTGAGTCACGTGAACTCCAACCCGGAAGGCGAGACGGACCAACGGCACCCAGTTTGGTCGTCAGTGACTTCATTTCCCGCTGCCAAGTCAACTTCTGTCCACCTCGAGCCTTGCGCCATCCGACACCTGGTAGACTAAACAAGGCCCTCCTGGGTAAGCGGTGAACAGGCATGCGCAGCACGTGCCCGAGCCAACGCAACTTATTCAGTGCTATCTGTTGTTCTAGGGAGCTAGCATGAATATCACCACCTAGTACTCGCCTACGCACATCATCGTTGCGGACACGCTGGTGCCATCCGACACCAGCAATGCTTCGCAAACAACGATGATCAAAGACTTGAAGGTGCATCAGATCGTCAGACCGAAAGGGTCAAGTCGCACTACCATAGAGCAGAACGGCCCTCACTGTGGCCTTGTACACCCGGCCTTCCAGACGAAAGGAAATTCCCTTCTGTCACCAAAGATGCCGCAGGTTCAAGAAGGTAGCTCTCGCTTTTGCAATGCGTGATCTCACGTCAGTTTCTATGTGCCTATCATTGCTGATGCAGCTGCCAAGATAAGTGAAATGATCAACCACCTAGAGTTCCTCGTTAGCAAGCGTCAAGGGGTCATCGAGTGGCTGGTGGTCCTGCAGCAACACTTTGCACTTTGAAGGTGCGAAGTGCATACCAAATAATGGGACCACTCTGGATAGGTTATTCAGGGTTGATTGCGCCGCCTCAACATTATCGAAAAGCAAGACGATATCGTCCACATAAACTAGATCAACTAACCGTTCACCAGGCAGCACTTCAACACCTACATCGTGAGATTCCGCAAGGGAACATTCCATGATAGAATCCACGACGAAATTGAACAAAAAAGGGGAAATTGGGCAACCCTGTCGAACGCCACTTGTAGTCGAAAAGCTATCTGATAGGGCACCATATACCCTGACGCAGCCTCTAGTGTTCGAGCACAGAGCACGAAGGATGTTCACATATTTCGTGGGAACACCTTTCCGCGCAAGTATTTCTAACAAAATCGATCAATCGACTGAATCGAACGCGCGCTTGAAATCGAGGAACACAGCTATTGTTGGTCTGCGGTATGCGTGGCGCTGCTCTAGCACCTGCCGCAAAGTAAATATATGGTCTATATATATATATATATATATATATATATATATATATATATATATATATATATATATATATATATGGTCTATACAGCCACGTCCTGGGCGAAAACCGGCCTGCTCTTCTCTAATCCGAGATTCCCGTTCCGCAGTGAGGCGACGAACGATAATCGAGGCCAGTAATTTTGCCACAACTGGCGTTAGGCTAATACCCCTGTGGTTCGCACAGTCTGTGCGACTGCCCTTCTTGTATATTGCCACTATAATCGATTCGCTCCAATTAGACGGCACACTCTTCGTTCCAGATACGTTCGAATAGGGAGGTCAGTGCTTTGCAGAGGACCTCACCTCCATCCTTAAATAGTGCAGGTGGGAGGGAATCCGGGCCAATGGCACGAAAACGATTAAGGGCTGTGATCGCGTTTCGGACCTCGGCCTCCGACGGAGGCTCTAAACTAACCGTCCATGGCTCGTCCTGCATCACCTGAGTAGGAAGAGGTCCGGGAGCAGGGGGCCAGCTGAACTGATGTTCAAAGTGCTTAGCCCAACGAGCCATACGGCGCTCCTTATTGTGTATCAGCGCACCCGCGCTGTCCCTGATTGTCTCACTGACGCCTGGTTTTCTCGGACCAGTGGTGCGTATTAGCTGGAAGAGCTTGCGGTAATTGCCTACTGCTCCTGCCTCCTCCATTTCTTGAGCCCGACTGGTACACCAGGCTTCCTTGTCAGCACGTAGGCTCCGCTTTAGTTCACGCCTAATAGCCCGTCTGGTCACATTGTGTTCAGAACCAGCCGGGAGGTGCCTTCTAGCATCCAAAAGGTTCACCGACCTCTCGGATATGCAGTGACTGGTGCGATGACGACTGATAGTGCCACAAGCAGATGCTCCTGCGTCGTGCATAGTGGCCGAGATCCTATTCCACTGAAGTTCAGTGTCATTAGGACAAGACAACGAGAGTTCGCTATGCAGTGCTTCCTGATAGGCTTGCCTGACAGAGGGCTGGGACAATTTCTCCGTTGCCAATCGGGGGAGACGCTTTGTGCGCCTTCCAGTAAACTTCATGGAGAAACGACAGCGCACCAAGGCATGGTCAGAGTCGACACAGGTACTC